AAGGGTGAGGGGGAGCCTAGACTTCCAGATTTTGGCGCTAATGCTGCAGATATCTGCTCAAGGATAGAGAGGAGGAAGCAGGTCAAGGGCATGCTAGTTCTGGCTGTCTGGAAGAGGCTCAAACACGAGCACGTCAAGTTTCCAGAAACGGCAAACAATTTACATCTGCGGGTCAGTTCCGCGTGCCATATTTCTGGGGGAAGGAAAGAGCGGCAGGAGTCAAATGAGACTTAAACCCATTGGCCCTAAAGATAACAAAAAACAAAAAACAAAAAAAAACCTTAAAAAAATGTGTTAAACGTCTAATGATTAGACATATTGTACTTTTTTTCGGAAAAAGAGGGGGGGGGGGGGGGGGAAGAGTGTCGAAAGTGGCAACAATTAATGCCTAGCCGTAAACAACAACAAAACCTGCCTACCGCAAAAGAAGAAGAAAATGATCATAAGGGTGATGAAAATGGTGCTGATGATGTTGATGAAGAAGGGAGAGGAGAAAGTGGATTTTCTGGGGAAACAAACAATGCAGTCAGTTTTATCAATAATCAAACATAGATAAATTATAATGAGATAAACGAACGTACTTGCTAGTTGCCACAAGCTAATTATCTTCAATCTAGATAGCGTCAGCATTTGGAAGCACCGCTTAGCGTTGATTTTGACAAGGGAATGAATGTCCTTTCAGTAGGCCAAAACAAACTACAGAACGTAAAATTACCTAGTAAAACCGCACAAAAGCCAATAAATGTTGGGGTTCGTGCGCAACGTTCTGAAGAGGACCTGCAAACAACAACATAGCTAACATAAGGAACATCAACCAAGCAATTACAGGGTGAAAATTGCAACATGTATGTGTACTGACTGGCTCCCTCTCTCTATCAGTTAAAAAAAAAAAAAAAAACTAGTAAGTACAACTAAATTTTATTATATACTAAGGATATCAAGAATGGAAACCACGTGACATCACCATGCAGACGAGCCATTTAACGTTACGATTAAAGCTTAAAGATGGCCGCCACAATTTTGACATGATCCGAAGAAGAGCATCCTTTTTTTTTTTAACAATCCGATATTTGATCACTGAAGGGGTGAAACCTATTGACATTAATTAGAACATTGAATCTGAATTTTTAAACACTATGCATATACCGGATTCCAACAACCACATACAGTTGAAAGCACGAGATATCGAAATAGATAATTCTCACTCTTTCTGCAAGATGCTATACACAGTACGTTCTTGTGTTATTTAATAGATATTAAACATTTCCTAATGTTTTTTTATTGCAGATAATTGTTTCATTAACCCATTATATTTAAATTCTTAGTTTCGTTCCTTCTGCCCTCTGCTGTTGTTATTTTAATACATGCTGTTATGTCTTGATAATGTCCTTGTATATATAATAGGTTACAATTCATCTAAGATACTTAAAAGTCCAATACAGCTTTACCAAAAAATGGTTGAGTTACGGCCCTTTTCTGCCACAGTTTTTGTGTGTGGCTGGTACTCATTTTCCGTATTCACACGTGTTGCAGGGCGTCAACTGGTCGAAGGAGCATGTGGATTTATCTATGAGATACTTCAGTTAGGTTATTTTTGTGTATTCTTCTTTGTAACTGTAACATAGTCTATTCATGCAATGTGCTGACAGTTTTTTTTTTTTAGCCACAACGTCTACGTGTGGTTTGTTAGAAAATGCTAGATTTCTTTTAGTTTTATATCTTTTCGTGGTATTGTTAACAATGTAGAGTAATTTGACCTATTTATTATGACCTATTTGGACTCCTATTTTCATCGTGCTGTTATAATTTTAAGTTGTTTTGACCAACATTTTGACTAGTTTGAATTGAAGCGCTCCAGTTAGAAAGAGTCAAATTATAACAGGATTGATAATAAAAGGGTGAAGTTGCCGCACTTAATTCTAGGTAAGAAAAGGTCTAATGAACAAAAGAAGTGCTGTCACAATGGAGGTAGGCTGCAAATTATCAGTTGCTAACTATGTGAATATTATGTTGTGATACCCTAGTATAAAAGTCAAGTTAAAGTCCAGAGGATCGAGTTTATTACAACGGGCTTTATCCCATTTGGCTCGGTTTCCTTCCGCAGAACATATAGCTGCCTGCAGAAAAACATCCCACAAAGCACAAACTCCGAGCTTCGGCGACGCGCCTCATGGATCTTCTTGAAAATTGCACTCGTGAACGACGCAGCCGTGAAACGAACCCACTACCTTCAGAGCGCGAGGCAAACGGTTTGACCACTGTATCTGTTTCACTGTGCGCTTCGCGTGCCATAGTCCAAAAGCTACGAGAACGATCTTTTCCTTTAACTGCCGGAATCTAACTCTAATTGATGTCAACGATTGCACTGTGCAGCAAAGTCACTACCATCTGAACCACAGAGTCGCGCCCGTTTCAGAAATGGGTCAAATTACAATTTTGTTTCCTTCAGTTGTTTTTTTTTTTTTAATCTGTTTAAATAAGAGTTGCCAGTCAATACATGTGGTGTTTTCAAAGAATGAGGGAGTGGGGTGGACAACAATTTACTTTTACTTACATTGTCACAATGCAACAAAACAGAAATATTACACAAAGTTGGAATACATATGGTCTAAATATTTATACATGGTTTTTGTGTTAGACATATCTCTGTGTACGTATGGTACATGTGTGGCTGGCTGTTTGTTGTTGATATAATACATACAATGGCATGGTAAAAACAGTCTTTGTAGGCTACTTGTGTAGTCTAGCAAAAGTAAATACAGATAGGAGGGCGAGAGAAAGAGAGAATAAGAAAGAAAGAAAGAGAGAGAGAGAGAGAGAGAGAGAGAGAGAGAGAGAGAGAGAGAGAGAGAGAGAGAGAGAGAGAGAACACAGAAAGAAGGAAAGACCGTCTCTTAGACTGCCTGCCTAAGAGAAACAACAGATACACAGGAACTTACACATGCACGCCGAGAGTGGTATAGTAAGAGAGAGAAAGAGAGGGATACAGAAAAGCAGAAACAGACAAAGTCAGCCAGAAAAACATACGCGCGCACACACACACACACACATACACACACACACGCAGAGGGAGAAACGCACCACATATAGACAAAAAGAGAGAATGACAAATTGACTGATTAAATGAGAGATGAGAGGGAGACAAACTGAAATAAAGATGTTAGACTGATGTAGTGTATTAGAAACTCACACACACACACACACACACACACACACACACACACACAGAATAATGAAAGACTGACTGACCGAATGAAAGATTCAGGGAACTAGTGAAAAATAGGTCAGTGAGAGAGAGAGAGAGAGAGAGAGAGAGAGAGAGAGAGAGAGAGAGAAAATGAGTGAGGGAGTGGGCAGCAAGCAGACTGTATAAACGACAGACTATAAAGTGGAAGAATGAGAGAGAAAGCAAAGTTCAGCGAGTGGGTTAGTCAGTGAGTGACAGAGAGAGAGAGAGAGAGAGAGAGAGAGAGAGAGAGAGAGAGAGAGAAAGGGGGGGGGTAGAAACATATTTAGTGTATGAATACTAAAGTGAAAGGTTACATTTAACAAAATGCTTGAGAGAGAGAGAGAGAGAGAGAGAGAGAGAGAGAGATAGAGAGAGAGAGAGAGAGAGAGAGAGAGAGAGAGAGAGAGAATGTCTGCCTGACTGTGTAATTATGAGAGCGAGAGAAAGGACAGATAGAGACTGAAGAGAGACTTGAATGCGACACACATACACACACACTCAGAGAGAGAGAGAGATACACAGAGAGAGAGAGAGATACAGAGAGAGAGAGAGAGAGAGAGAAAATGTCTGCCTGACTGTGTAATTATGAGAGCGAGAGAAAGGACAGATAGAGACTGAAGAGAGACTTGAATGCAAGACACACACACACACACACACACAGAGAGAGAGAGAGAGAGAGAGAGATACAGAGAGAAAGAGAATCTACTTGAAATTGTAATAATTAGAGAGCGAGAGAAAAGAAAAAATAGAGAAAGAAGAGATACATGTGATGCGAGACACACACACACACACACAGAGAGAGAGAGAGAGAGAGAGAGAGAGAGAGAGAGAGAGAGAGAGAGAGAGAGAGAGAGAGAGAGAGAGAGCGAATATTTGCTTGAAATTGTAATTATTAGATAGCGAGAGAAAGGAAAAAGAGAGACAGACCGACAGAGAAAGAGAGAGGGAGAGACAAAGGCACTACGCCATCCTACCTCACATAACATAACCTAACCTAAGGCACTTCACTTCCCGTACCTGCGACAGTGTCTACTCTGTGACTACATTGACATTTCTGAGTAAAATTCGCCTACCTGCTCCTGCCCACATCATCCAGCGACTGCCGGCGGTTCATGGAACACCCCTACGACTTGAAAACAGTGCAGTGCTTTGACTTATTATGAGGGCAGTTCAGAAAGTAATCCTCACATTTATTTATCCAAACCAGTTTGTGCAAAATGTACGGAATTCACTGATTTTTCTAAGTAATCTTCATCCATTCCTATAGAGCGACTCCAGCGCGAAGTAAGACTATGCACACCACCTCCTCGCCTCATCAAGTTTGGTCCTGTTCACTCACATATTTCTTCACATATTGAATAGCTAGACCAGTCTCGTCTCTGAACTTGCTGAAACTTCGACTCTCTGAACCCAGCGACCAACGGGGCTCTTATAAACTGAATAACTTTCACATGCTGCCCAAAAATGTTTGTGAATGTCGGTCGATCTTTTTATTTAAAACAAGAGTTTAACAACAACTTGCTGTGTTCAGCACACAATGTCCCTCGCTTTCTGTTTTTCTCGGACTAGCCCAGAGCGTGTTTCGTTCTGGTTATAATGAGTTGCAATTTTGTACACATAATACTTACAATTCTTGTGTTTCAAACAAAAACTGCAACATTTCACATTCTATTATTCGCTAGGGGCGGAAAAGTGGGGCCTTACTTTCTGAATGCCCCTGGTAACAGTAAAATAGCTAAGGCAACATAAAACACAGACAGCAAGACAATATCTATCCATGTCGGAAAAAATGAGTACCTCTTTGGAACACGCGTTTCAGCTCCTTCCGGAACGACTGGTTCATAAAGGCATAAATAACCGGGTTGGCCACGTTGTACACAAAATGTGTGTAGAAAATGATAATCTCGTAACTGATAATCTCCGTCGCCATCAACCAGGCAGGGAGGAAGCTGATTATGAAGACTAAAGTCACCACAAACAGCATCAGGGCTGTTCTAATGTTGGCCAGGAAGTTAAAATCGCGCCGCTCTCGGTTTGTTTTCTTTTCGGCGGAGGGGCTCAGCATAGTGTTGCTGATACCGTTCTCATGGGAACAGTTACTTGGGAGTGACGCTATGTTGGTTTTTGTAGTGGATATAGAATTCCCACTTTCAATTCTTGTTTCCGCGGAGTCGCCACTTCCGCTTTCTTTGCTGTTCGATGGCGAAATGTGTGAGGAGTTATTCTGGGGAGATAACTCTAGATTATCTCTCTCTCCCGTGTAGATATCTTCCCCTTTGTTGATATCATCCACATCTGTAACTCCAGCGGTCATCGTCATTGGCGAGTGGGACCAGGATTTCTGCTTTCTCCTCCAAGCTCGTCTTTCAGCGACTGATCTGTAGATGAAGAAATATAACGTGAACACCGCCAACAGGGAGATGATGTAAAACGAGATGTAGATCTTCTGGTAGAGTCCAGCAAATTCATTGGAGAAGATATCCTCGTTCATTAAGCACATTCCCTCTTGGTTCTCTGAAGCGCACGTAGATGTCTCTATTTGTGCGGCCTTTTTGGTGGCTGAAGTAGCTCCAATGCGATCAACGGAACGCCACGAGCTTATGTTATCTGCCAGCAGGTCAGTATAAGTCGGCGAGGTCGGAGGAAGAGAATCAGCCTCCTGTGTTAGAGATGTATTTCCAACGCTGTAGCTACCAGAGGCCAGCAAGGTGATACCAGTGTTATTGTTGTAGTATACTCTATCGTGTGCGCTCGTATTGGCTCGTGGCTCGTCAGGAGATTTGTAAGCGCCGTACAGACACGCCGTGATGGAGCCTGTGGAAATATACAGCATTACATTAGGTGTAACAGTGCATAATTTCAATGTCAGATTATTCAATGTATCAGTTTGCTTGTTTGTCATTGGGAGAGGGGGGGGGGGGGGGCTGGGTTGTTCTATATGTCTTGTTTTTGTTGTTGTTTATTTTCTTATTTTAATTATGTATCTTTCCCTTTTAAGTTCCGGTGCCTCAGTTTAGTTTGCGTGGTGATGGGCGGTTAGGTATGGGAGTGTGTGTATGTGTGGTCGGAAAAAGAGAGGGGGGAGGAGGGTGGAAGTCACTGAATCTCTAAATAACACCTGGTAACACGTAACTATCTGAAAGATTACTGAGATCGGACATTGTGGGCCGAAAAGCGTAGATATCACAGACTAGCTGTGAGCCACAACACAGCTTGCCAGCCACACCTGTGAGGGCGAACACAGAAGGATGAGATCTATTTACATAGTGATGTAGGAAAGTTGGAGGGGAGGAGAGGAAGAGGGAGACCGAGAAAACAGATGCTGGACAGTTTGATATCAGGGCATGGACGATCATCTGTGTCAGAGTTGACTACCAGTGCCACACGGTATGGACTTTAAGAATAATATATATACATATATATAAAAACTTATGTCGGTGACCGAAACGATAACATGGCTGGAGGCACAGACCTTTTCTCGCGTGTGCTTTCCCAGTGACTCAATGAGCATGTTCAGAAAGACAGATGGGCTGGGTCCGAAAACAGTGATTGCAGTCTCTGAGGCGCTCCAGGCTGGTACAAGAGAGTTTCGAATTTGTGTCAGGGAACGCAGGAGTGCAAGGAAGTCAGCAAGCTGATAGGCTTGCAGGTAAAGCTATTGTGGAGGGCGGACGAGTCATAGACCAAGCAGATATTCTGGTTACTCTATAAAAGTAAAAGGAGAAGGACCAGACAATAGCACTCTGCAAGAAGTCAGATAAGAAAAAGAAAAACAAACACTAACGCATAACTAGTGTCATCATCCGCTAGACGCTACGGGATTTACAAAGGAGGGGATCCGAGGACTAATGGACTCAATGGTCTTATGTGCAATGAGGATAATCTGTAATTTTTTTCAGTGACTATAACTGTTAACAATGGTATAGAACCTGCCCAAATTACCCTACAGGACAAGTATCTTCAAGGCTAGGAAGTCTGACGACGGTGTAACATATAACTTTGCAATTAAAAAAAAAAAAACTCTAAGGTCATGCTAAACAGACATTGGTGCCAGTGCACTTATATCCCAACTGACACCGTTATGAAGACTTCCAAACATAAGTATTAGCGCCAAGAAACAGATTATAAACAGCATATTCAGACCAACACTGTGCTACCAGTGCCTGGCTTGGACATTATCAAAGGGTGAACTACGTAAAAATTAACACTAGCGAAATGAGATACCTGAGAAAATCTGCAACTCAACCACCCGAGACAAAATTAAAAA